TGTGTGCTGACGACTGGGGGGCAGGCTTGTAGTGTATATCCTTTGGTTGGGCGATGATGCGTGGAGGGTATTGTAACCATGGCAATGAAATGGTATACGCTAGGATGAATGTAAAATAATGTTCTCCCATGTAAAGTAACACATAATTCACAATAAAACATTAAAAAAAAAAAAGAGGCTTCAGAAATCTTTAGCAACAATATTGAATCTTATCTTCAATAGGAGCTAGACTTCTTAAAGCCCCGCTGGAAATGCCTGAAGTTCCCTTGACTGGATTTTATTTAAATTAATCTAAATGATTATTTTATATGGAAAAATCAAGTATTTTTTCAGAAGAGGACAACCTTCTCTTTTTCTACCTTCTTCCCTTCAAAACAAAACACTTTGCAACTGTGGGGTGAGTTAAGTAACTCAGTTAAGCTCCCATGGATCCAGGTTAATGAAACATAACTTTCTGTTCCCAACTTCATTGCTATTATCATTATTATTAAAGAAAAGAGTCCTACAGTTAACAAAGTTTCTTTTAGATATGATTCTGGCAGATTAATGCTTAATTTAGATAATAGATTTATTACAAAACGTTCCTTCAGGACACCATTTCATTTTCATATAAGACATGAGGTTCTGAGATCTAGGCAATACACCTTATTTGAAAGACATAATAGTTTTCAAAAGTTATAGCACATTCACACTTATGGTCATAGTTGTTTAGTCCCCCAACCCCAGGGATCCTGTTTGAGGGAAGTTCTAAAAGGCCTGATTCAAGCAGCCTCACAGTCTAAGCCCTAAAGAGGGAGAATGACCTTTTTAGGGGTCATGGCCTCTTTAGGTCTGTCCACAGCTGCCAGAGTGCTCTGATGCTTCTCAATCCTGCTCTTCAAACTTTAGATAAAGAATCAGAGTCAAGGGCCAAGGCTTCAAGAAAAGCCCTAGGAATTATTTGCCCTGAAAAGCAGTTTCAGAGTTTCATGTTCTCATAAGACTGACAGCTTTCTGTGAGTATCTGAGTTCTCTCAATCCTGCTGGTTGTGTGGAATGATGGCCACACTAGCTATGCATCTCCACATACATGAATGAACTCCTGGAGTTCTTTTTCAGTTCTGGAATCTGTGATTTCCTCACTGGGAGTATACTCCACAGCTATTTTAACACTTTCTGAAATAAAATGAACAAGGAATTAATTCAAAACTATTGTTTTAAAACTTGTTGCATTAAAAAAAAAAAAAAAAAAAAAAACTGCTGGGAACTGCTACCATTTTGGTTAGCCAGCATTTGAGTTAGCAGCCAACCATTTGTCACACCCTATGACGCCACATACAATGGTGGTTGTTGTTAAGTGTCATCATGTTGGTTCCAACTCTATATAGGGTTTCTGAGACTGCAAATCTTTGCAGTTGCAGAAATGTTCATCTTTCTCCTGGCATACAATGATTGTTGTTGTTATTGCTAAGTGCCGTCGAGTTGGTTTTGACCCATAGTGACCCTGTATAGGGTTTCTGAGGAGGCTGGTGAGCTTGAAGCACCGACCTTGCTGTTCAAACTGACTTTGCAGTCCAGCGCACTACCCCACTGTGCCATACCAGGAGTCTGCACAATGGCAGCACTTAGTAACAAGGCATTCTGGTGATTCCTAAGGTGCCCTGGTCTCTAGTGGCGCTGTGGGTTAGGCACTGGACTGCTAACTCTGAGACTGGGGGTTTGAACCCACCAGCTGTCCTGCAGAAGAAGATGAGACTGTCTGCTCCTGTAAAAATTGAGTCTTGGAAACCACATACAAGGTCACTGTGAGTCAAATCAACTTGACAGCAGTTGTTGGTGGGGTTTTGATCCCTAAAGGAAGATGGTAAGAGCACTTTTCCTTGAAGTTTCCTCATCTCACACTTCAGTTTTAATCATAAACACTTGCTTAAGAGTATATATTATCAACTGTGTTTAGTTCAAAGAACTATATGATATTAGAAGTAGAAACTGATTTAGGAATCATGACAAGAAATAAAAGCTGTAGAAACTAAAATATTCAATCAAAATATGATTAAATAGTAAGGCATTAGGTGAGGGTCAACGTGAGTTGATAATTGGGGAAAAGACCATTGAGCTATAGTGGCAGTGGTGGTGGTTGTGTGTTGTGGAGTTGGTGCTGACTATTGCAACCCTATACAGGGTTTCTGAGGCTGCACCTCTTTATGGGAGCAGAAAGCCTCATCTTTCTCTCACTGAGTGACTGGTACATTTGAACTGTTGGCCTTGCAGTTAGCAGTCCAACTTGTTATTCACTAGGCTACCTTTGGGCTATCGTTGTTGTTGTTAAGTGCTGTTGAGTCAGTTCTGACCCAAAACGACCCAATATAGGGTTTCTAAGGAGTGGCTGGTGGGCTTGAACTGCCGACCTTGTGGGTCAAACGGTTTTGCAGTCATTTGCACATTAACCCACAGCGCCATTCATATTAGAGGCAAGAATCAAACGTCTACTCTTTGGGAACCAATATTCCAGTAGATAACAATGAATAAAACTTTGGACAAAAAAATGAACATTTGCTCACTTTGCTGTTGTTAGTTGCCGAGTTTATTCTAACTCATGGGTGACTCCATGTATTATAGAGTAAAACTGTGCCCCATTGGGTTTTCTTGGCTACAATCTTAATGCAAGCCAACTACAAAACTTTTTCTTCCAATTTAGTACCAGGTTACCAGTTGGAGTCCTAGTGTGGTGCTGTATGATAGCTGTAAGGTCAGTAGTTCAAATCCATCAATCACTTCTCAGAAACCCTATACTGGTTCTCTATGAGTCAGAACTAGCTCCATGGCATTAATTACTTCTACTACAGGTTAGCAGTAGAGTACTAACCATCTGTACCACCTAGGGGCCTCTATTGGCCCAAACTGAATCCATGTACATCAAAGACGATATAACTTCCCATCAAGGCAAACATGAGCCACAAGCTTTTTGGTTTGAGTTTGTGACAAGGAATAGCACTTCAGTCCATTGTCATTAGTTGTTGTGGAGTCGGTTCCAGTATCTGGTGACCCTACATGTGCAGAGTACAGCTGCTCCATAGGACTTTCAAAGCTGTGACATTTTGAAAGCAGATCTGTAGACTTGTCTTCCTAGGTACCAGAGGGTGGGTATGAACAGACAACCTTTTGGCTAATGCTTAACCTTCTGCACTACTCAGGGACTTCTCAGCATATATGTTGTTGTTCAATGTCGTACTCAGTTCTGACTCATAGTGAACCTGTATAGCGTTTCCAAGGAATGGCTGGTGGACTCGGACCACTGACCTTGTGGTTAGCAGTCCAGTGTTTCTCTTACAACACCACAATTAGGGAGATGTAAACAACCAAGTCATTTGGTTTGTTTTTTCCAGGTTGTTACTCAGAGTTCCCAGTTGATGGCGATTGTACTTTGCAGCCAGGGAAGCCAGACTCACTGGCCAGGCTGGAAGGCAATCTAGGGCCATCTCTTACATATAAGGCTCTCTGACAATTTTGCTAGGGTTTCTGGGTCCCTATGCCTGCAGGGCTATGATGCAGGGGAGCAATTCTGTTCAAGGACTCTCTGCTAATTATAGTTTCCTTACAGCTAATCGTCTGCAACATTGAGCCCACTGAAGA